GTGACTTGCCCAAGGTCAAACAGTTAAATAGTGTCAAGGCCTTGCCACATCTCAGATCTTCTAAGTGAGATGCTCTCGCCTAAGAGATCGACTAATTCAATCACCTTGTAAAGATGAAAAACAGAGTCCCAGAGCAATCAATGACTTGCTTAAGGTAAACATCTAGTTGGTAGAAAATAAAAAAACCTGACTCCAGGCCTTGGTATTTTTTTAAAAGATATTTTTCTCATCTTTCAAACTGCTAAAATCAAAAAGAATAATTTTCTCACAAATCAATACATGAATTCAGTTAGGTTGGCAAAACATCTGGCAACAGGCAGCCAATAAACTGAAATGAAGAGAGGCACACTATGGGCAGACGACTCATAGGCTAATCCTCAAATGACTAATTCTCCATGTTAATGAATCAGAATAATAAAAATGAATAATACCTAGATTTCATGAATCAAATATTATGCACCAGGCATTTTATATGCATTTACTTTCTCACTGAATCAACACAATTTTGCAAATTATACATCCTCCCTATTTTACATAAGTGAAAACTGAGGGTTGGAGGAAAGAGGCAGCATTTGATCCCAGGTCACCCTGACTCTAAAGTTAGACTATGCTCTCTCTTTGACATATCTCTGTATAATTACATGGTATTTTTGTATAATAATACAGAAATTCATTTGAAAGTATTAATAGCTAAAATGTATTGACCACATACTACATGCCAGGCATTTTTCTATCCTTTATGTTTAATAATACATCATTTAATCCTCACAGTAACTCTATCAGACAAATATATTAGTATTTCCATATATAAATGAGTAAGATGAAACAGGGAATGATTAAGTAACTTGTCTAGGACCATGGCAAGTAGTCAGTGGAGGAGCAGAGAAGTGTACTCAGAACCAACCCACCTCAAGTTCTTAATCATCATGGGCCAGCCCCTGGGTGTGGTGTTTTTGCATGACTCAATCTCTGACCTCAAGAATCTTAGAATCTAGTAATGGGAACACACACAAAAACGCAAACATACATAAACTATAGTGTAACTCATATACTAATATTACCCATATAAACAACTAAATTAGAAGATGGGGTAACAACTTCCACTGCGGAGGTACAAAGGGCTGTGCTAAGGAATGAATTGCCTAATGTCTCCAGGCACACAATTCAACGAAAAGACTTGGGTGAGTCTGGCAAAGCAGAGAGGTACATAATGCATAAAGTATCACACCCTTTCTTCTCCTTGCATGTTGTCTCTCTGGAGATTAGGTGAGAACCTGATCCACTCACTGCCTATCAGGAGACTTTTGTCTTTGAAACTAATCAGGAAGAATTTACTGGCTGTTAAGCTCTATAGCAAAAACTCCTGTGAAGGAATGAAACAAAAGGAAGGGAAACTAAGATGAGAGTGAGGGATTCAGGACACAAAAGAATGCAGAGTCAATTCAAGCATATACGTATTGTTCCCTATAGCTTAAAAATGATTATTTCTTGCTTAAAATGTGCTTATAATACAGAAAGCAAAATCTGCATTTAAAATTCTTAAGTAAATGCATATTGTTATTATGTAAACCAAAACTGACTTTAAGTTAAATAATTTAGGTTGAATATAGAGGAAAATTTCTTGACTGTATGATTGCTAAATTCTAAAACTTTTATTCAGGGAATATCCAGAATTTCTTCTGAAAGTCTTCAAAAATAGCTCTATACCTTTGCCAGCCTTCAGGAACCAAGCTTACCTGCATGCAGGCAAGAAGGGCCAGTGGGCATGTGAATCCCTATCAATCTGGTTGTATATACAGCTTGTACATACACATGGTCTCACAATTAGCTCCAAAGCCCCAGTCCACGAAACATTTAACCTCTGGTTATACTAGTTATTTGCAGTGGATGCCAAATTATGGCTTGCTACCTCAGTCCATTAAATGCTCAACAAGGAAGAATAAAAATGTGCATTTTTAATACTCTTTTCATATTAGCATATAGTCCCTATCATTCTCCTCCACTGCATCTCCTTGGAAATTCTGCCCCAAGGTCACCCTTCAACATTTCATTGAGTTCTGTTAGTCAAAGTATATTATTCCACATAGCCCAGCTGAGCGGTAAGGGCCATTTACTCGCCAAGTGACCTTTGGCTAGTATAAAGTATGTAAAAATCAGTTTTCTCATCAGTAAAACAAGAATCATCATAATACCTCCCTCATGAGAGCTTTCGTCAGGAATTTTTAAAATGATGATTATTTAGTCTGTAAAGGACTGTGCTCATATACAGTAAGTGCTCACTAAATGGGAGCTATTCAAGTTGATTCCTAGAGGGTCACATAAGTACTTCTGTGGCCTGTAAAAGCAAAAATGAATCTCTTCCACAGCATTGCTTCTATTTGCCCCTAAGTAAATGCCAACGCCTGTACTCTAGGAAGGTTTTAACAACATGATTCAAAGAGCCATAGGGGTCCTCGCAGGCCTCTCAAGAAGCCTGGGAACAGAGCACAGCCCAGCCCTCAACCTCTCCAAACTACAACTTGATGTTTGCTTGGTGGTTTGGCGTTTCTTTTTCTGTTTTACACATTACATTTTTGCTAATTATTTTTGTGAACAATGGTTTTTTGGCAAAAAAAAAAAGTTTGAAAACTGTTTAATCCATATATCAGAGAAACAATTCAGATATAATAGAGCACCCTAAGTTTCATCTGGAAATATTAAAAGTACTCTGATTTTTATCATCCCACCACCTAACCACTTATAAATTAGGCCTAATTTGAAGATCTTCAACATTTACCAGTATTCAGTTATATTTACAAAGCAATTAAACAGTGGCTAAGATACACAACAGTGCAGAACAATTATAATACATACTAGGACCATGTTAAGGAATAATGCAATATAATGGTCCTCCTTCCCCTACTAAAAATGCAGCCTCATGTATATGTGGGAGAGTAGGAGGTATATGGGATATCTCTGTACCATCCTCTCAATATTGCTGTGAACCTAAAACTGCTCTAAATAAATAAAGTCTTTTTAAAAAGTCAAAAACAAAAACCAACCTTAAATTCACACTCCACAACTTGGCCAACCTACCTCTTCAGCCCATGCTGCAGGTACTTTCAGTAGATCCCCTTCACCCCGAATAAACTACTTTCTGTTTATTCCCCAAATCCATCTACAAGGTTACAGTCAGTAAGCCTTTGCTCCTGTTCCTAAGGATCACTGGAATATTCTTCAACTACTTTCCCCATCTCTTTTAAAATCATATCCATCATTCAAGGTCTAGACTAAATTATTCCTCTCGAGAAAGTAGTTTCTGATACCCCTGAACAGATGTGCTTTCTCTCTCTCTGTCCATAGCATTTCATGCTATATTGTGACACTATTGTTCTAATATATTAGTGACCTGAATGAAGCAGAACAGTTTGATGACTGCCTTGGCAATTAAAGAATTTTCTAATTGTCCTGGTATTTGCCTGCATGTGGTCTTTAGCACTGATATGTTCACGTCAAATATCACAGAAGACTACACATTTAAAAGCATGCTTACAATATCAGTGGAAATGAATTAACAATCCAAATATGCTATTGGTGTATTTACTGTGTATTTATTAACAATTACTTTGTAGTCAAGACACACAAGAATTTCTTTTTAAGGATGTTTACTTTTCTAGTTAGTAAATGTACGGGATGGTTTTCACTAAAACATAAGTCAGCCAGCTGTTTGTTTGGGTTCTTAAACTGAATGGTAAAAATACAAGCAGTTTTTCCTCAAAGTACTCCACTTTAAACAAGCGAATCTGTTCCATATTTAAATGATTTAATTTCCTTTTTCTAAAAAAAAAAAAAAGTTTAAATTTTTCATATAATAAGAACATCTTCTCTTCAGAACTTTCATTTCAAATGGCATATGGTTCTCCCTCACCCATCTGATACCCCAGGGATGCCAAAGCACTTAGGAGACCCAAGAGAGTGTGTAATCCAACATGACAGCTGAAGGAGGGAAGGCTGACAGAGGCATCAGAACAGGTACCACGGAGGGAGAAGCATCATTCTGGAATCTAAGGGTTTACCCTTTTTCTCTCTTCCAAGTTCACCAAAACACTGCAATTCACGTCTCCTTGAGAAGACAGCATCACTGACACGAAAGCTGAACTCAGAGACGGGTTGGACCCACCAAGACAAGCAGCTTTGTGTACCTTAAACTTCACCAAAGCAGATAGGCTGGCCAGCGTTTCTGCACTTCAGTCTCCTAAGTTCTCCATAACCCAGTGTAAGCCCCAGCTGGCTTTGTAGTCAGCTTCCCTTCCCTCTATACGGTGCATTTATGAGTTCAGCTGTGGGCCCTGTTAATTTCCCTCCACAGCCTTTCTTCTCTTCCTAACACATGCATACTTGAGCTCGCTCTGGAGTGCTGACTAAGGAGGAACAATAGGAGGCTTTGAGCAGGGCTCAGCCCCAGACCCAGTCAATATTTACTTCAGTTTGGAGGCACTGTTTTAAAGCTCCTTCCAAGCAGAACTCAACAGGAGGAGTCCCCAGAGGTTTCTAGATTTTTAACTAGAGGGAAGAGGGGTATAGAGATAAATAGATTACTGTCCAAACCACTTTCTCAGAGAAAATAAGAGGCTGTTCAACAAAACAGGTTAGACTTTCAATACTAATTAGCAATTTATAACAGGAAAAACCAATCGTCTTCCAACACCGATTACTGCAGTCTTAAAACTCCATATTCAGGCTGCAGTGCAAATCTACTTAATGTGACCCACGTATATCTTGTGAGCAGGGTCCTGATCCTATCACCCACTCAAGAGCTTGCCAACGTTTGCCTACTCCGCCCAGAATGGCAATGCAAGAACTCTAGGTGAAGTTAACCCAAACTCCACGACTGACTTCCAAACCGGGTCTTATGTATACTACCAATTCAAGTGTGATTACAAAATGAAGTTGTGAATACCAAACCCCATGAATTAAGAGTATGCTATGATAAATACTAGTAAGTATGCCTGCTATGTTTGCAAGAGATTGGAAAGGTTAATCTATGGCTATGAAGAGAGTGACTAAAAAAAAAAAAAGTCACAAATATTCTCTTCCTGCCAGTAAAAGAGGCTTACTATGGGACAGCAGGTGGGAGGTGAGATGGAGTTTGTTCTAATACCATATTAGAGCCAATAAAGCTTTCCTGTGGGTGTACGTTGCATTCTGTTGACATAAATGTAGACAGACCCTCTATATTAAATACGAAACTACTTAACTGTAAGGATTTTTGTATTTGCCAGCTGGTTTAAACTTTTTTTTAAAGGTCAATTGCCACAGAACTAACCCAAAGTGACAGTTGGGAAATTTTACTAAAATGATTAAGGCTATATAAAATTACTGAAGATGTGTTAGATACCTGAGGAAGAAATCCATAGTTGTCTGCCATAACCAACTATAATACTCATTATTCCATTCAAATCATTAAATAGACTTTGTTCCTTTTGCTAAAAGACTTAACTGTATATTCCATTCACATTTTGCAACATTTCCATAAGAACAGAACCAAATGATCTAAAAACTTTAAAAAGAGAAGTTGAAGAGAATTTACAACGGTGCAGTTACAATTCTAGTTTATGACAATCTTAGTACTAAAGAGCATCTTCTGTATTTTAAACATGTAAAATACATTGACATAACTCAGCCTTTCACTAAGAGAAATAGATAATTCAAACCATCCCTCCCTCCAAAAAAATGAGGTAAAAGGTGATGCACTAGGATTAGCCTATTCAACTATCTAAATTCATCACATGCACTGGAATCCGTTCAGCTCTAGCCTTTTGTACATTATTTACCATATTAATAAAAGCTGAATAATTAAGCTGCAACTCAATCCAATCATTTCAACATCTTAAGGAATTACTAGATAGCTATACACATGCAATTTGATCAATCAACATGCTCTCATGGAAAAAAATAAAAAACTGAGTAAGCCTGGCTGAGACGTAGTCTTTGGTTGATATTTTTTAACTGATATACAAGAATATAAGGAATTAGTATTTTAATAATACAAAATGTCAATAAGTAAGTTATCAAAATTTAAACTTCTTGACTACCCTTTTGCCAAGAAAGCAAGCCTGGAGCAAGGGAGGGACTGTAACTAATATCATTTACCAGACATGGAATCCAAGTAACATACAATTACCAACCGTTAAACTTGAAATAAACTCATAGCAAGTTCATTCCCTCAACAAATTTTAACTTCCAATGTAGGAGGAAAAAAGAAACCTGCTTTTGTACAAAATGATCTAAGAGCAACAAAGCTAAACCTAACTTTCCTTTGAGCACAGTGATTGTAAATATTAAAATGCTGTACTTTTAAGAGAAATCTGTTAAGCAGAGTTCGCAGTGTTCTTTCAAATAATTTTGGTATGGCTTATGTTAGACTCAATATTTTCATTGCTAGTGGCCAAGTTCTGCCCACCGACATCACTAAATTTCTGGGTACGGCACATAAGGATCATTGATAATTTACCTTATGAATTACTTTTTTCTGGCATAAATGAGGTTTGTACCTTCAGGAGTAAAACAACGTTACAAAATGATTATGTAAGTATATGACGGAAATTTTTTAAAAAGTAACAGGCACATTTGCTATCCACCTAAACAACTATAAACATAGGAAGTAAAACTGGCTTTGAATAACCACCAGACAATTCTATAGGAAAGCAGCCCTTTGGCAGTAATGTATTGCGCAGGTTTCAATGCATTAAAATATGTGTTCCTTGACAAATCCTGTTTCCTTTCTCAGCTACATGTTGTTATGATCTATTTATGCCTCTCACATCAATGTGTGTATAATATGTACTAAGTTTAAGATAGTCAATAGCAAGAGTTCTCAAGCAGAGCGTCAAGGGGCTAAACCCTGCTCTTCTAGCAGCAGAATTCAGAAAAATCCAAGGATCCCAGGGACAGCCCAGCTACCCGTAAGGAGCAGGCCCAGATAGGAATTGATTTGTTTCAACAAGCTCCTCATTGGAAATACAAGCATCCTCCAAGAGGATGTCGGTATTCATTAATTTCTCCTTTGAGATGGAGATATCTCATTATAACTATGAAGTCCAAAGCAGAGTATCAGGATTTTAGAAGTCAAAGAAGAAACAATATAGCAGAGACAAACTGAGAGGGGAAGAGAGGGCATTAAAAATAAACCTGGCCAATTTTACAAAGGAGATTCAAAATTCCTTTCTGGGGAAGAAGATCCTGGAAGACTTGCCTCTCAAGTCACTCTTTACACATTATTACTCTTTTAGAAATCACAAGACAAAACCTAAAATGCAAATTCCTTTAAATAAAACCCAATGTAAATGTACAAATCATCTCTCAGGAACAACATACATTACAAAATGATACAATTTGGTCTATCTTTTAAAAAGTCAACTCTTCTGTGATGCTTTTAAAATAAGTGTTATTTGTAAGAATGTATTTTCTATGCAACTTACCAGATGTATATAAAGTGAGATTCACAAGAAGATATATAAAGTGAGGTAACTCCCCTTAAATCTCTATTTTCCCCCCAATTTATTGAGAAATGATTGACTTTATCCTTTTTACAAGTTTTATATCAGTTTTTAAAGTCTGGTCACATATACACATTCCTTTAAATTTTCACAAGTCTGAGGGATATATTTTTATTATACCCATTTATCTATTAGGGTAAAGAAACTGAGGCTTAGATTCACCACTATAAATGGCATACTTACAACTCAGACAGAACTGAAATTAAATTAGCTCTGAAATAAAACCAAAAAATGTTAACAGACAAGTGACAAATCTAATCTGATACGGGTTTTTTAATATCTTACTTTCTGAGTCCTTGCCTATCCAACACCCAAACAAATTTGAAATTTGATCTGTAACAGTTGCTATTGTAAAAATTCAAAACAAAAAAGTACATAAACACAATGTTTTTACTACATGCAGTTAAATAATCTGTATAGGAACATGTATTAGTATACAGAAGAACTTGGTTACAACATATCAATATGATGACAAGTCACTGTTAATAACTCTGAGTTAAATAAAAACCATTTAATGTGCTTATTTTCTTTTTTAAAAAATGGAGGTGGAAAAACAGTATTAAGAACTACTGAGCATCTTCTACTTCATCCAAAACACAAATCTTAGGTATATCAACTCTATTTTCAACAAACCCATTCCTTAGAGATATGCAAATTACTTCACTTTAATCAATGACTATATCCTATTCCTAAATTTAACTATCTTTGAAGCATATAGCATAGTTCTTTTAGGAGCCACTTAAGTTCACGCAGAGTCACGGAAGATTCTCGTATTTCAGGATCAATGAGAATCAAAAAACTGGAAACACTAAGTGCCTGTCACCCCCAAATTCACTGTTTGAGAACTCTCATTTACACCACAGTGAACATAAACATAAACTAACAAAACAGTACTATCTTACTAAATAATAGTCATAGTTATTATGAAATAGTACCCAAAGTTCTAATTAAATCCATTGCAGATTTAAAAAGAAAAATATTTGCTTCTGTTTTAAAATTATCGAAACGTATTGGTAAAAATTTGTTTTTAAAGTAAAAGAATACTTAAATGAAGTTGCCACTGTCTTGTTCATCTATTTCCTTTCATAAAAATACACTTGACTTAAAGTACAAACCGTTTTATCTTTTTTTAAAATAATCATTCCATAGAGGTATATTTCAATTAAGTCAGTCTACTTAACTGATGCTTTCAAAGATTTGACAGTTCATTTAGATTAGTAATACTGTATTTATATACACAGAGTGAAGATCAGTAAAAACAAAACACACAAAAAAAACACAGAGTAATCTTCTGAATTTAAGTAGTTCCATTTCTTACTTGTTAATACAAAGATTTGCTTTGAAAATGCAAATAACATATATGCTGTGAGAAAAGTGGAAGCATATTTGCAGATCTTGTATTACCCAGACTCTACAGGAGCAAAGGTTTCTCACTATGAGACTCATAGAACTTTACAGAAAGAAGGCATTTTGTCCCAAGTCTTTTATAACTCCATTGAAATTACAGGCTCCTGAAAGCCACCCACAAGAAATCCAGACATTGAAAGTAGAAAAACTGTTAGTCATCTTTTATGCTGAATGTAAAAAGAACATTTGGGGTTAATTTAACCACATGGATTTAAATTGGAAAGTGTTAAAAATCTGTTTCTGAGGTGTAATTCTGGCATTGCCACATAAAATACATCTTGGGAGGGTTTGCAAATAAATATCCTTAGACATTTATGACAGGATCCTCCTTAAACTTTTTGGACCAGGGAAATATTTTTATTCCAGTGGAATTTGTCTACAGAGACCAAATCTTATAATGAAATCCCCATCCTATTACCTTTGTTAGTGGTGTATTTTCAATGAAGCATAAACCTCAATGTAAAAGTCTGTTTTATTTGTCTGAGTTTTGAAGGAAAGTGGTTAGAAAGGAACACTAGGCATTCTGGGCTTTCTAAATGGCAAATAATTTTCCTTCACATAAATAGGGAGCCATTTTAGAAACTGCAGAACTCTATGAAAAGTTCAGTGCAAATACAACCAAGAGTCCTTGAAGAGGAGCCAAAAGTAATCTCTCTCCCACTTAACTGTATCTAGAACCTTGCTGTCCAAACCACGGTTCATGGGCCAGCAGCATCAATGTCATCCGGGAGCTTGTTAGAAATGCAGACTGTCAGGGCCCTATGTAGCCCAGACCTACTAAATTAAAATCTGCATTTCAACGAAATCTCCAGGTCTGTGTTCACCTTACAGTGTGAGAAACAGTGACCTAGAAATTACAGATCGAATGCTTCATGATGACAGGGATGCTGTATATATGCTGTTTACTGCAGTATCTCCAGTACTGAGAACAGTACCTGGCCCACAGTGGACACTTGACATAAATATCTGTCAAGTAAATCTACATGTGCACATTTATAGTACTATTTTATACTCTGTAATATAATTATATGTATACAATTATTGTAGCTGCACAATGCTCTTAAGTTCCTTACAGGTGCAAACATTCTCCTATCCCTGAATCCTCTGTATGTCTCCCAGTGTTCTGCACATAATATCACTCAATAGTTTATCAATGATAACTTTTACATATTGAATATAGGAATATAGAATTTCTTCAATGTGAAAACTTTGGAAAAATAAGTTCAAATCAACATGTAGTTGCTGAATTCATCTATTTGGCTTTGGTTTTAGATACAGCTAAGAGTGCTCACCCTAGGAATGAAAATAGCAATGGAAAACATTACATAGGGCCAAGTTCTGATTCTATGTGGTATCAGAGAACAGGGATGGCGTGGATGACTGAAATCCAAAATTGAATCCAAACCCTCATGTTATTCAATAGCTTTAAGGTCTTTCCTTAACAAATCTTCTATCCAAGCTGCTAAAAGTTTGAGTATTTTTTTTTTAAGTTTCCTTTTCTTTCTCAAATCTATCCACAGGTCTACAGGCCCGGAGACAATAAAATGGGCCAAAGCCATCAAAAAAAGAGAAAAACAGCCATAGAGAGATTTACATAATAAATGAATTAAGTGATTAGCTCTCAAATAATCAGATGTCATTGAAAAATCTCGAGTTAAGTAAAAAAATAATTTTCAAAAGACGTAATTATAATAGTTAATATATGTACTGATAACAAGACCATGCCAAAATAATATTCAAAATAACGAGATATTCAGACTCGTAGATATCGCTGGTTCTCTCAGTTCATATTATAAAGGAAGAATGCTAAAATAGGGAGCCCCTTCCTAACAAAGAACTGCATTTTTTCATTTTAATTAACTAAATTAGATAGTCCTTTCTACATTTTTTTTCCTTCAGAGAACACAGGATAATGGTAAACCAATAGGTATGTCTGACCTTAGGTGTACATATTCTTATGGAATATCGTGTATACATATACCCACCCGCTCCACACACACCACCTCTGTCACGTTGTCTTCCCAAGAGTATAGCTGACCACGGTGATAGCAGAGTGTGTAATTAGTTTTCATTGTTCCCTTGACAGCTATAGTTCCATACAAGACCCTTTGCTTTTGATGCTGTAAATGCTATGGAAAAAATACACTAATAACAGACATTTAATTATGGTTCTAGCAACCATAGTGGGAACACTGCCAGAAAAAGACTGGAACCTCTGGGATGGCAGAAATATATATATATATATATATATGGTGAGGGGGGAGGTTCTGTTCTTCAATCATAGTAATTTTCAAAATATTAATGACAAGCATATGGTGGGAAAATTTTTAAATTTTTCCTTGAATCTTTGTTGACAATAAAGTATGTATACAATGCTACACCAATACTAAAACCACAAAGAGCACTATCATGTCTGTACTAAAATATTAATAAGAATAAAGGCATTATTAATGAGGGAAATACTCTTTAGAATAGCTTTACATTTTGATACTATTGGTAAAGAGTGCAAAGATTTCATTTCAAATTTTGTTTTCTGCCTGGATTTTCACAGACTTAAAAAAATTATCACTTGCGATATAAAATATCTGGGTGCTACATTCTCTGAGGTTTACTTTAATTTGTTTTATACAGTATTTAAAATAAAGCATCCCAAGTTGCTGCCATGGCAGACACCAGATCTATCACTGAGGTCCCTTCTCTCCTTATTAATTAGTAATTGGGAGACACATTTTGGCAGCTTTCGTTTCCCCATTATTTTCTCTAGTTTGACACAAAACCCTGTCAGAAGCACCACTATTTGAACTGTACCCCTCTTAGTGCTGGGTCACTAAATTTTAATAAACGGAGCTCCTGCCAGAAAACTACTGAAATAGGCGTAAAAGTTTATTGAAGCAGTAACAGTAAACAAATATATGAAGAAAGCGCTGAATGCCACAGTATCTAAAACATTAATGGTCTGTCTGAACCCAGGGGTTATTGGCGAGATTGCAGAGCAGAGGCTAAAAGAAAAGGCCTTTAACAAAACCACTGCTTTCATCTGTCTGTTAAAAAAAAAAAGAAGAAGAAGAAGAAAAGTATTAGCTAAATAAAGCAGGCCAAACACTTTGCTGCAGCAGAACTGTACATCTGAGCTTCCCTTAGCCTCCATTATCCCAACACGTTGACTAAAATTATTGGGAGGCAAAGATTTATAGCGACTATATGGATACAGAAGCCATCCAGAAGCCACAAAAGCTCTGTCAGAGCCAAAGAAACATTTTTATAAATGGTAAGGTGAGAAACTTAAAATGAAAACTAAAAAGACTGATACTTTGGAGGACTGCAAATAACTACACAATCAGTTTCAAGATCTCTATCTCAAAGTGTCAGTCACTTCAAAACGCATCCTGCTACGATGGTGGCTCAGGACACTTGTGTGCCAGGGCAGTGGCCATGCTGTGCGAGTCAGAGGTCACCGCTTCCACATTCCGACATCTGTCTGTATTTTCTTGCCCTGAAACAATAGAAGGGGAACTAGGCTCATTTGCTCCCACTTTGTTTAACCTAATTGTTAGACATAAAAGATAATTTCCCATATTTAGAGTTTTTTTTCCTTTTCCCCCAAATTCTCATTTGTCTCCATAAAATTAAAAACTATTAAAAATGTAAGCAGGTGAAGTTATCTATACATTATTGAGTTTAGTAAATGTAACAAAGTTGTATATCCCACTGACATCTACGAAATATGAAACATCAAGTATCATGTCTGTCATCATCACAACCTAGAAAACAATTTGCACTATAATTATCCAACCTAACTATGCCATAACTTCCTTTAATTCAAACCACAACACTGCGTGTTTCATATAAAAATACTTTCATTTACTTTCATAATTTTCAGGGAAAGAGGCAAGAGTTAATTGTTAATTATAGTTTTTACATATATAAATAATTAATAAATTTTAAAATGGAAACTCTGACAGCTTGGAAACAGCAAGAAAAAAAAACAAAAGGTATTTGTTAATTCATTTAAAAACAAAAGGTCACTTTGAACACTCAGTTATTTTAGTCTTCTCACTAGCCAAAGAAAAACAGATGCTAGATATCAGAGGAAAGTTTTCTGTGCAAAAATGGTCAACTCATGCCTGAACTTTAACCACGATACATGTATCTGTTATTAAAACGTGCACTTTATTTATTGCCTTTACACTACATCTACAACCACCCAAAATCCTACCTCTAACGAACTGAAGCAGTTTTTCATACGTGACATTAGTAGTATTTATCTGTGCCCAGCTTAATCAGGCTAAGTCAGGTTACTTCTGAAATAAATTTTACAGAAGCTCTGTTTTTGCTGCAGTACATGAGAATAATGTTCCCAGCCATCATCAAACACATGCAGTAGTAAGGAGTATAGTATAAATTTTTAGTAAAGTTTATTAGGTCACTTGATTTTCCAAATGTATCCAGAAATACAAAACATGACAGAAAATATAGCAGACTCAGTTGATATACTCTCATAATTTTTAGTAACAAATATGAATTTACTTGTAAAATAATCTATGAGAACCCACAAGAAAGATTTGTTCTAATGTGATAGGAAGAGCTTATATTTCAGAGACAAAAAGGCTCTGGCTTAATATAATCTATCTTAAATAACCCCAACTGCTTCATTTTTAGAGGTACCTATACTCTTATCAGTACCTTTTGCTGGAGAAAGATTCCTGGTAGACTTGAGTAATTAAAAAAAAAAAAAAAAAAGGCAACCAACAAATAAAAAGAACTACTTAGCATAATCAGAAAAAGGAGATCAGGATTTGGGGGTGGAGGTGACAATAGGGGCTATTGATATGTTCCTTTGAAATTAGCCATAAAGTATAAGCTTCAATAAAAAAAATATTTATGGAAACATGGTACAGCCCAACATTTAACATTAATATATAATATGCCTGGGTTTAAGCATATTATTACTAAGTTAAAACATTCTTTTCTGTAAACTAAATATAAGATAGCATTTTAGTGAGTTCGCAAATAAGATAGAACTTTAAATGTAGAGAGCCCTGCCAAAATGATCATAAAGTGGTTTAGTCCTTTTCTATCGTCCATATTCATTTCTGGACCAATTTCACGAAAGAAATAAAATCGGTCTTAAAACAAGATGGCTGCTTCTAGGGGGAAAAAAAAAAAAACCACGCTGATTTAACTGAAAGCCAAAAAACTAGCTTTTCTAAATCAGGAAATAAGCACTTAATCATATTTTTTCTAATCTCTAAGTAGGTATTCATGTACTTCCACATGGTAATCCATATATTATACTGTGCAGTTATTTTTAATCATTAATAGCAAAGTGATTTTTAAAACAGGCCTAATCGATGTGTACTAGTAACATGATTGTCCAAGGCATATACATATTTGCTAATATATATGACTGTCCAGAGCATATGCCCAAACTTCTACTTTTAGTTCATACCAGAATCATGATCATCAGTCATGAAAATCAGGTCACTTGATAAGCAATAATAGAAAGAATATTTATATCTTATATCTCCTAAGAATCCAATCATAAAACAGGCATTAATATCCTATTACAATCAAATCAACTGTACTTGACTTTTTAAAAGTAAAAATCATAGGAACTTTACTATTAGACGATCTTTCCTTGAGCTATACTTTGCTGACCCTCCCTAAAGCAACTGGAAGATCAATTCTGATATGCATATAAAAATTAAGAGCATTTTATCCATCTTGAAATAATTTTAAAATAAGATTTTTAAAAATCATTCAAACCTATTTTTATTCCTCACTTGAGTGGAAAATAAGACCTGACAGTAACATTTTCTTCAACCTGTCAACTGTCAATTGTATGAAGGATGTTTCTAAAGATGACAAAGGTTTATTTTTCCTTATTGAAAATGATAGAATTCTACCTGAATGAAAGCTGAGCTAACCATCACTGTGGTACACTACTGTCTCTCAGCAACTAGTTAGCTTAAATAAGAGTTTTCAATATTTTAAAATAATGTTTTCATTGAACTATATGGTTTACTGTTTGAAAATTATATTCAGAAGCCTCAAAAACAAGAATTTGCATCCACTCAAATTTTCCAATTAGAAAATAGCACACAGATTTCAGTTTACAATAAATCCTTTAGAGAGTACAATAAGAACTATCCAGAATATGAAGATATTAGGAATGATTTTACTCAAAATCATGCAAAATAGTTGTAGTCAGAAAAAAACTTGATTAATTTTAAGCTAAGTGGTCCTGTGTCATTGTGCTCCTTTATGACTGACTAAATTTTGAAAACATAAATGCAGACAAATTTAAGAGGAAATAGATCTCCTAGTAGTGAGTAATATCCTATTCAGAAGCACTGGAAGTTCACATTAATCACAAGAAACTTTTCTACAAAACAGCTCAGGACATAGGTTGAAAAGCAGACTAAAATATAAATTTGATAATATAAATCAGGCCCTTAAAAGAGACAGTAATTTATTGATGTTTGGCTAAGACCACCAACACAAGACAAATTATTAAAAGTGAATATTAATACCTCATTTCTTATACTCCTCTTTGAGGTTTTTATACCTGAAAATGAAGATGTTATCCGTCACAAATGATCAAAGGGCAATTTTTTTGCTCAGTTCAGAAGGCTGATCTGACTGAGTTGTCCTGGGTAAGAGGCAAGGACCTTCCTCACTGTGCTTAGGGAAATTGAGGCTTCCTTTGCAACATGGATATTCTAATCAGGAATGCTATTTTAACAGTTTGTATACTGCTTCTGAAAAGAAAATTGATAATACAGAATCTTCAACATAGAGTCGTTCATTATTTCAAACAAAATATCACAGCTTTTTAAGTCCTTATTACTACAGAAGTTATTCAACACACACACAAAAATGAGGAGGGTTGAGTGGTATCTTATAAAAAATTTCAAATTGATTTTTATTGAAAAAACAAATCAATAAGCACTAGACCAAATGCTACCCAACATGTAAAATTCTATTCTTAACATATTCTCATATTTTGTTCATTTTTATTTTAATGCTTTCTCTCTCTCAAAGGTAAATTTTCTGGCATATACTTATCCCAAGCTAGCAAAGGCCAGAACTCCTGAAGGACTAATTGTATTCATTCATTTTCTTGGCCCAGCATGAATCTGGTAGCTTGCTTGGTTCATAGCAACAGGGGAGAAAAGGAGGCGCTCATCTTTATCTGTCCTCATCCAACAGGAAACCAGGCCAGTGGACAGAACGCAATGCAATGCCTGTTCAGAAGGCATTCTGCAAGATTAAATGGCAAGAAATTCACAAGGTTAATTTGCACCCAAGTAACTAAGTGTTCCCTCCAAACCTGATCCTCAGCCTTCAAAGGTGGAAGCTTCTGAAGCTATTGATTGTTAGCCACAACACATATGACAACAAGATATTAGTTCAGTGAGGTAATGGTTTAGTTATTACCACTAAAATTACCTAACAGACAGTAATAAACTACTGAAGACTCTGATACTTTTAATCACAAGTAGTTTACTGATCTTGGTCTTACCCTGAAAATGCCAAATTAGACTGTAGAGTCAAATCTGCCTCAAATAGCTCTAATGTTCCTGTCATCTAAAAATCAGACAGTTGAGTATTTCTGATAGTTTATTGTGAACATACAAAATAATGAATAAAATAGGTAGAACATATCTCAGTAGCTAACTCTGCTTTTCAAAATTCTATGGAAAACTGGCCACAAAACAAGAAGCATACTTCTCTTTTACAAATTTCTAGATTAAAAAAAGGCGGGGGGGAGTCAATTCAGGTCTCTTACAAACATATAAGTATAAACACATGGGTTATAAATCTCAGTCATACTGCCTTATTTTTATCCTGGTACTTGCATAAATTCTGATATAAATTTCAGAATAATAAAATTACTACCAATACATCTAATAAAGTGATATGTTACATTGAGGCTTAAAGTTAATGCATTTTACTTGAAGAACATTTATGTTTCTAACATACAAAATATTACATTAAATATTTAAAATTTCAAGAATAAGGACAATCCTTTCTAAGTTTCGTGACAAAACTCATTCAAAACCAAGATAATATTCAATCTTTACTCACAACAAATTCTTAGATTTAAAGCATGCTGATTTCATTTATTTGTCAGTGACAAGGTCACAGTGCCGGTATACTGGTGTGTGTGTATGTGTGTGTGTGTATATATATATATATATATATATATATCAAAATGATGATGGCTCAGATTTTTTTAAATGGAGCAAGTAAATTTTGAAAGAAGAAAAATACTCAAGGGAATATGATTAGGGAAAAAAAAAAAAAAAGTCACTACTTCTCTCTTCTTAGCCACATACATTTGACCTGTACTGCCAGAGGATTTCGGAGTGTTGACCTAGAATTCACATTACTTTCACAACTCCAAGATCACATGTTAACAAAACTAAAAGGTGTCAATTACCTGCTACTCTAATATGAAATGTTTAATTTACCAGTCCCTACAAGAATTGAGAAAGTCCAAAGAAAACATGATTAGGTTAAAGTTTAGTAAATCCTTGATGAATTACAGAGATATTTTCCTCTTAAGAGTATAACCTTTTAAATTGATGGTACTCAAACCTTAACGGAAGCAAAACACTGGTTGAGGAGGACTGGTATTCCTAAAAGAGTGTTGGTCATATTTGCTGCTGTATTATTTGACTATTGCATCAATAATGCCAACCAGTAGGAGATATGTTTAATTACCCTAATGTCATTTTGGGAAAATAGTCAAAATAATCCAAGAAGAACTTTCAATATGCACCCGATGTTTAAAAGTATATTCTTATTAGAAGCACCAAAAACTGTTTATGGCATACTTCAGATGAATAGGCATGTTCTTAGTATTGACTCTCTTTATAAGCATAGCTACTAAAGAGGACTGTAAATAAAGTTTTATTACTGGAAGTCTTTTTAACATTACTTAAAATCTTTTTACATTCTTAAAGAAATTAAGGACAAATAGTTATATTCTTCTTGATGTGGATTTTCATTACTCAAAGTTACTTAGTGACATTCCAGTTTAGAATTCAGCATAACATTAAAAGGATCATTTGATTATTTACACTTTCAGGTAAAACTTATACAAGTTTTCAAATTTTGGAAATATAGAAGATGCATTTAGGCAAATGTTATCATATATTTCTATTCAAACTGATAGTTCTCAGTTGCTATTTCACAAATTTGTGTGAATTCAACACATAAAATCAGTTTGGTCCCCTATCCAATAAATACTACCAACTAAAAAGTTATCAGCATTTGAAAACTCAGTATCCACTTCTCAGAAGTGAATACCTGGGTACATAGATTCTAACAGTAAAACTATTCTGACAACAAATAAGTTTAATATTTTTCCCATGAAACTACATCTATAGATGCTCATTTATCAATGGAGATGCAGTAATGAAACTCCATGTAGAAGATAAACTCCTATCAGATACACAAGTTACACATAACTCAAGTTACATAGTAACATACTGTACTTAATCCCTGTGATCAAGATACATTTAATTCTGATTTTAGCTAAACATAATTTCAAATTGAATCTGTTAGTATAAGCTAAAGTAGATTTACTTCATTTAGACACAATATACATTATCATCAGTTTAATGTGCCCACTGAACTCATATTCTGAGGTAAAAATAAAAAAATTTATTTAAATTGCAATTAAAATCCTCTATTCTTTTTTCAAAAGATTGAAGTCTTACTAGTTTAGCAAAATCTTAACAGATAGGTTCTATATAAAGACACAAAGCATGGCTAGCTTACTTTACAAAATAACATATATGAAGAGGAATTGCACAACACTGAATTTATAAAATTTACTAAACTCGTGGAAATTTTCTGAAATATTTTCTTACTATTGTTTGTGAAAAACTGTTAGTTTTTATTTTTAAAATACTTATTCGGCATGTGGCCTCTTTAAAATTATATCCAAGTTGACTTTTCTTAATGCATCAAAAAAGCAACATCTTATTCAACACTTCAGAGATAAAACTGCCTACTTTTAAAATATTGTTTTTAAAGTAAGTTTTTAACTGTGATAACATACCAAGATAAATGTGTCCATAAATTCCTAAGAATAATAAGTGTTAGGGCTGTATCTCTTGGGGTTAAGAGAAGTACATCATTCTTTCTTTTGGCCATTATCAAACTGATAATGATCAAATAGAAAGGTATTTCCACAAACCTGAAATCAGAATACCGATTTAGAAATACTATTGGTATTTTAAAATTCTGCAGATCAACTTTGTCTGGGCAGGTTCAAAGCCTCCGTGGCATCCTGAGCAGAAGAGTTTTCTGCAGGCAGGGCAGATCTATTAAAAAACATGACCTGTGACAAAAATCAATGTGCTAATCTCAAACCAAACAACAGTATCAAAAGCATAAAACAGAGATAACCTAAGATAAAATGTCCTCAAACTAACTCAGTCTAGCTTGACAGGTTAAGAAGGGGGGTTAGAGTAGGGGTGCTGCTGGTTCTTTCCGTTTTAAGCCAGGAAGACTGGAACACCCAAGTATCCAAATAAATGAATGCCATGAGAAAAAGATCACATTGTGGAGTTTGGAATGGGAAAGAAAAGACAACCAAGAGCAAGATATCGCAAATTCAACGAAACTATTTCAGTGTTATTTAATAAGGTGCTAAAGTTCAGAGATACACATTTCTGCTTCGTATATGCTGCCTCATAAAGCACAAACGGGGGAAAAAAACTAACCAACATAATGAGACTTGCTTTTAACACCATCACAACTGGAAAGCTTGCTCTATTTGTCTTGTCAGCTTTAATAAAAGGCATCTCCTGTGGCAGGATGGCTTCTTTTTCTCTAATAGTGGTAAGTGGCATGTCAAAGAAGAAATCGCTTCCCATTCCACCACCCACCTCCAGGAGACTTGTTTTTTGAACCAAACTTTTAGGACTATCTCCACTCCTGTTGGGCGGTTCATTTAGGACTTGGGCAGTTACCTGAGTAAGACTATCCTGGACTAGCGGGATAAGGGGAACTCCCTCTCGGTTCTGTAACCGGCGGACTGCTTGTGGGGAAAATCTTCCCATCTTCATCTGCGCTGACATTACTCAAGCGGGGAATCCCACTCTTGCCTGCATGCCGAGGGGAGGCTGGAGGCAGGCGGAGAGGGCCCGCCGGACACAGAAAAAAATTGGAGGCGCCCACCGATACCCTCTCTCCTGGAGAAAAAATTGGAGAAGCCCACCGATACCCTCTCTCCTGGAGCCCGGGACGCGCACCAACTCTAGGCTAACCCCTGGGCCTCCCGCCTCTCTCTTCCCAACTTCCACTCCAGCCCAGTGAAAAAACCTGTGATTTTAGATGCAATCGGTACTCTTAATAAATAGTACCTAGGAGGGCACTGAGACCGGGACACAGCTGGAAGCTAGCCTCTATCCCAGAGAAAGCAGTGCGGTATGGGCCCAGCGGGGCCGACTTCTGTGCACAGACCGGGAAGCAGTAAAGGTTCCGAACTGCTCCAAACCCGGAGGACCCCGCCGGACACTCTGGATAACCTCCCCACTCCACTCCCAGGGTCCGAAAACACGGGACGTCTACGACTGGCCGGTGTCCAGCACGCGCGCTAGGACGGCCCCAGGCGCCCACCTCTAGTCTCCCGCGTACCCAGCGGGCTTCGGGGACGCCTACAAATCGGATCCAGGTAACCGCGCGCGTTCCTCCGGCAGCACATCGCCAGGCCGCGGGCGAAGGGCTCCCACCTCCTGGCTCGGCCAACTCTGGCAGCTTGTTCCGCACACATGACGTAACCCGGTATTAGATCAAACTTTCTGGCATCTTGAACCCACTAGGGTGGGTGGAGGGATGAAGAAGATGGGAGAATCCTCTCCACTGCAAAGCGCGCGGGGCCCAGACTGACTCAGGGGCCGAATGATTTCCTCGCAGTTAAAGAGGAAAATAAAAACCTAAAGCTTCCGCTTCCCAGCCCCCCTCACTTCCCCTAGCCCGTGCGCTCTCTCTGCGCGCACCGGGAAAAGAAAAGGAAAAATTAAAAAAAAAAAAAATTTAAAAAAAAAAAAAACTTTGGGGGATGTTCGGTGGGTTCTTTCCGCAGTCCCTGCGGACCCACGGTCCAGGCAGGAGCTCCCGGCGGCGCACACTGGGGGCTCCCCGCGCCGGGATCCGGATGCCAGCCAGCCTGCCGGGGCTGGGAAGCGGAGAAGTGCCGACTCCCCGGCTCCCGCCCTTTTCCGAGTCTCCCCGCGCCCCGCAGAAGCAGTTGGTCTGGGCAGCCCCGGGGACTCCCAGGGGCACCTGGCCTTTCCGCGGCGGCTTAACAAAGAGGGGCGCGACGCGAGCGCTTCCCGCCGACGCCTAAAGCCATCAGCGCCCGGGCGACGCAGGCTCCTAGGGTGCGCGCCGCCAGCGGCTGGTGCGCGCGGATCCCCGCCGCCGCTCTTCTGCAGGGCCCCGAGGCCCGGGTAGCCCCGGCTCTCCGCCCCTTACCGGCTTACCTGGGGTTGCTGCTGTTCCAGTAGACAGCGTAGCGGTCGGCGACGGTCTTGGAGCCCGGATCCTGGCTGAACACACACATCCAGAGCACCAGAAACACCAGCGTCAACATCTCCACGTGCAACATCACGCCTGGCCAGCGGCGGAGCCCCCGACGCGCCACTCCGGGGAGAAAGCAGGGATCCGGAGGGAGGGAGGCAAAGGGACAGAGAGAGAGCGGGCGCCAAATAAATATGAATAAATAAAAATGAAGGGGGGCAAGAAAGGAAAGAGGTGCCCACCAAGCTGGGGAGGGGTGGGAGAGCGAGAAGAAAAGACGGCGGTGTGGTGGGGGGGGATAAAGACAAACTCGCACCCCCACTGGAGGGTTCAGGAAGAAAAAGGAATCACAAGATGGAGAGAAGCGTGCGTGTGTGTGGTGGCGGCGGCGAGGGCGGGGGAAGAGGTGCCAAGCTGTGTCTCGGGCGGCGGCGGCAGGCCAGTCACCCCGGGAGAGGGAGGTGCGCGCCGGTCCGGGCGGCTGCAGCTCGGGTCGGGGCAGGCGGCGGCGCGCGCTGCACAGTCACCGGGAGTTTCGCGCCGCAGCCGCGGGGAGACATACACCGGCCCTCCGGGCCCGGCTCAGCGTCGGCGCAGCGGACTACGCAAGGCTCCGCCGCCGCCCGGGGCCCTCGCACTGCGCCCCGCTTCCCTCCAAGTTACTTTGGCGGCCGGTGGGAAACTGCAGGAGGAAGGCGACGTGCAGATAGGGGGCTGCGCGCTTGTGGTCCCGGGAGTCTGAGAACCCCTTTCCTCAGCCTCCTCTGTGCCTTAGCCGGGCGACCCCCAGAAATCTCAGAGGAGTCGTAGGTGCTGCGGTACCGGGCGGTGCGCGGAGAAGGGTGGGGATCCGGAGCCGCAACCCAGCCCTGTTGGTGTCCTGGAACTGGTTAAGCGGCAGCTGTGCCGGCGAGAAGCGGTCTTGCCTCGAAAACCTCAAAGAAAAGTTTGGCTCTTCGCGTCTTCCGGCAGGTCCCCCAGCACAGTCGGACCGCGGCGGTAGCGGAAGAGGGCACCCCGGGTACTGGCCGAGCCTCCGGGATTTCTTGCGCGTGCTTTCCTTGGCTGGGTGTGGGTGCACCACAGTAAATGAAGAGCAGAGGTTAAGGCCAGCCGGCCTGGCGGAGCTGGGATGCCTAAACCTGCAAGACGACGCCAACCCAAGTGTTCGGCTGGAGAGCGGGAGGGGAAACAATCACTTTCAAATGGATCCCTCCAACTCCTGGATGGGCTGATGTCAGTCTCCGATCGCCTTCCGAGAGGGAGACTGAGCCCCCACACGCGGTGCCAAGAGCCCGGGGGTGAGCTCTCAGAAGTGTCCCTGCGACTCCGGCGGGTCCAAGCCTAGCAACTTGTAGAGATGCATCAATCAGTTTGAAATGGGAAAAGAGAAAAAAAAAAAAAAAAAGGGATCGCACGAGCGAGTGGCACCTCCCCGATGACTACATCAGAAAACCTTCCCGCAGCTGCTCCTCTTTCCCTCCTTAGGCACAGCAGCAGCAACAGAGGTGAAAACCACAAACCGAATCCTAAAACCCCTACCCAGGCGGGAAAATAAATAAACTTGAGCGCAGCAGCAGCAGCAGCACGAGCAGCCCAGGAGGAATTGAAACGACTGGCACAAGAAGTGGAAAGGGTTTTGCAAAAGTCAGTTTTGCAAAAGAGGGGGAAAAAAAAGAGAGAGAAAAAAATGCTTTATGGGAAAAAATCTCCTCGGGCACGCCCCCTCGTTAATGACTTGCGTGTAAAGCCGACAGCGGCGGCGACCCAGCGGCAGCAGCCTCAGCAGAGCGCGAGGCCGCGCGCGTGAACGTGGACGTGGGCGGGGGGATGGGGCTCCGCCCGGGCGTGTTGCGCGGGACGCGGGGCGCGGGGCTGGCGAGCGGGCGGGCGGCGCGAGCGCGGGTGTGAGCTCCGGACAGAGCAGGGGGAGGTGCCGCCAGCCCGCGCCCAGCCAGCGCTGCTGCCGCGGCGGCCCGGGTCATGTGGACTGCTTTTTTTTTTTTTTTTTTTTTCTTTTCCTCCTTCCACGCCGTTTACTTGGGAAGGGTGGGGGCGGGTTGGGGGGGAATAGCTGGAGCAGCCAGTCAGGGAACGGCCTGCTGTTTGCTTACAGATTGGGGGTTTTTCCTCTCTCTTTACTCCAACTGGATTGGTTTGCTCCACGAGAAAGAGGCGTTTTCCTAATCTCCTCCCTTCCCCACGCCTCCTACCCCCTCCCCCCGCCCCACCTTCCAGAAACCTGACTAATTGAATTACTGGGAGTGCCGAGGCGCCCTCTCCTGCGCCCGAGCCCGGCAGCCACGTGTAACCCTTTGGGTGCTGAATTCCGTCTGGGCTAAGGAATGATTTGACATCTTTCTACCTGGGAGTAGGGTCTTTCGATTTTAAAGGAACCGGTGCCCACCCTTTGGCTGGAGAGCCGGCATCTGTCTCTGGTACCCCTCAGGTGACGGATGGGCTGGGACGGAGCCTCTGGGAGTGCGCGTTCCTGTCCTTTCCATCGGCTCTCCACGCCGCACCGTGCCTGGCGCTGGGTTATCTGGAAATCTGAGCACCCCTCCTGTGCCTTTCAACCCTCCTCTTCCCACTTGGGATTTAAAGATTCTTGGGCAGGAAGCGAGTTTTCTTTAAAGTGATGCTCTGAAAACACGTTTTTAAAAATCAGGCAAATCACAGTTTAAAGTGATTACAATTCAGCGCGAACCTTCCACAGAGAGGAAATGAATGCGGCAGACGAGCCCTTCAGAAATAACCTCACACCTCTTCCATTTCAACCTTGAGGGTAATTTGCTGCCCACTCCCCAAAGAATAAACGCCTTTAACGAACCCGGTGCGGAAAGAAATGGGGGCCGGGGGTGGGGATGTGGGAAGGAAAGCAGTTCCTTTATTGTTGGAAAAGGCCCCTCGGTCCTGGACTTCAAGGGCAGGTTGCAAGCCTGGGTCTTCAGCCGCCACCGGAGCGCGATCTCCTGGCAGCGAGACTGTCCCAGTGCCTCGGGACGCGTCCCCACTGTGGTCCAGAGCCCGGGAAGCGAGCCCGACGCCTGCCGTGCGGAGCCACAGGTCCCCGCGACCCGCCCTTGAGGGGTCCGCGGGTTCGGGAGCAGCGGTATTTTTCTCATGGTCTCTAGGGAGTTTGCTGCTTTAGTGGGAAGGGCAGATCCCCAAGAGAAAAAAGGCAGTTTAGTTTTGCTCCCACACCTGCCTGCTCTCCTTTTTACTTATTAGTCCAATAAAATCAAATCTCACGTTCTCCCTCCTGCGCTTTCCAGTCCTCAGACGGGATTTCTAGGCGCTTCAGAGCTGTTTGGAAGCGTCCAGACGCCCTCCAGTGGTGGGCCTGCAGTCCGCACCCAGCAGGGGCATTGCCTGCAGCTCAGGCCGGATTCAATTTGGTGGAAAATCTAGGGCTATGACCAATAAAGACTGAGAGGAAAAGAAACGGTTCATAGGGGCATGGAGGTACCTGGATGTTATGGGCTCTTGGCTAAACGTTAAGTCGGTTTTCAATTACAGTAATATTTCCTATCTGAAAAGATCCTGAAATCGTCCTAGGAAAGTGACTTATGTTTTGTGACTAGATACAAATTGCAATCTGTACAATAATGGACTTTACTACAAACCAACCATCTGCCTAATTATTAAAAATTGAAATTCAGAATGTCGACATAAATACTCCTCCATCATCTGTATGTTTCACAAAGTTCCAGCAGTGAGAAAGAAGTGGGGAAAGAAGTGAGAGAACCAATGGATAAGCTCTTATTTTTCGAATCAAATTTTCAGTTAAAGCGTTATTCGCTTTTTTCCCTGGTCTCTAATCTTGCTGATTTTCACGTTCTTGGCCCATTTTAGGGTGTATTTGTTTTTTCTGTTGCAGGAAAGATGGATTTCTTTCCTTGGCTTTTCTGATAGTGGCTCTAATAGGTGCTCATATGACAGAGACAGTTTTGCAGGAAATATTCTGGACTCTTTTAAGAGATATGTGTATCTTTAGGAAGAAAATTCACGACTCCTGTCTGGGGTAAAATGCTGATCCTAACTGAAGAGTCTTTATTCAGGGAACTATCAGGTAACAGGGAGCTAGCAAGCTGGCTTCCTGTGGGATCAAAGCCAAAAAAAGGTGAAGAAAAAGAAATGGTATCCACTCATTTCCCATTTGAAATACATACGATAGCCAAATGGTAAAATTCAATACATCAGAAAAATATGGATGTCATCATATTTAAATATCTCTATTATTCAAAGTTTGAATAGCCCCATGTTAAACAGAAAAAAATGTATACATTGTCCTCTTCCTTAAAGTGATTCATAAGATTGGAATAAGATGTTGAAATTTGCAGCTGTTCGTAACATAACTCAAATGTCTATGTGAAACAATTCATAAACCTAAATCTAATGACTCCGGGATTATGTGCCTAAGTAATTATTGGTATGGAAGTTACTAGGCAGTGGGATGATAGATACAGTAAGTCCTTAATGTCAGGGATAGGTTCTTGGAAATTGTGACTTTAAGCGAAGTGGCATATATAAGAAAAACAATTTCACCACAGGCTACTTGATATAAACACGAGTTAAATTCCTGTGCATATCTCAGGTCACAAAAATGTCACCAAACTTCTAAATAAAGACCAAAACACTTCTAATATTAAACATTGAAATAAATGTGAGCTAGACATACATTTGAGAAAGGTTAATAAAAACAAGTAAGATCATTTAACCACTTTTTCCAATTCAGGATTGCAAGTGGTTGAAGTTCAGGGCTCAAGGAGGAAAGTAACCCGGGACAGGACACCCTTCTATCCTGGGGTGCACTCACACTCACACCCACACTCACTCAGACTAAGAATATTTAGATATGTGCACAGCTTAGAGACAACCTAGCGAGCACAGCTGTGGGATGTAGGAGGAAACCAGAGTACCCGGAGAAAACCCACTCAGACATGAGGAGAATGTGCAAACTCGACACAGACAGTGACCATGGCCCGGAATCGATTTTTTTTTTCCTCATCACCCATTATGACGAAGTGACATTGAACCAAACAGCGCTGAGGACCTGCTGTATTTGAATAGAGTTTGAAGAGCTATATTATTAACTGTACACTTACCATTAGATAGTGTGACTTTGTCTCTTCAGGAAAACATTCATGTGATTTAAATTTATACAAATCAGTATTATATAAAATAATTTTACTATAATTCGCCCAGTGTCACAGAGGCAATGACTTTTAAATGACTTTAGAGGCCTTTGGAATGTAAGTATTTTGCCAGGTATAGAAGGAGGTGAACGTAAGAACCTAAAAACGTGGAGACAAAAAAAATGCAAAGAATGTTTGAATGCTTCGATTTTGACAAGACAGTGTTTTAGGGAGCTGAGACCTGAAAAACTAGGTTGGTAATGGACTATAAAAGGGCTTACCTGCAATTCTGTTTCCATTTAAGGCTATAGGCTACTGGGTGCACTGGTGGTTTTAAAGCAAGTGCCATTGAAGCAATAATTTATATGCCTCAAATTAAAGCACAAATAGGAATTTATGCGTTTATTTAATTTTTTGGCCTTGAACTACCTTGATCAGTGTTCTAACCTTGGCTACAAATTAGGATCACCTAGGGAGCATTAAAAACAAACATACAAACAAACAACAACAACAACGAAAAACAATACCAGGGTTCCACTTCCTGTTTTAGCTGGTTAGGAGGGGGACTTGGGATCTACAATTCTTAAAAGCTCTCGAGGAAATAC